ATATATATATATATGTGTGTGTGTGTGTGTGTGTACGTGTGTGAATTCTATAAAAATAATCGCTCCTTTTCTCTCTATTAACAAAAAGTCAATGATTCCTTTTTCAGTTTTTTATCCATGTCCAGACACAAAGTTTGTTTGTTTCTTGGTGTGATAACATTTTTGAACAAGAAAAAATTAAAAAAAATATTATAAAATAAAAAATATTATTTTAATATATTTTTAAATAAAAAATCATTATTAGGTACGCGGGGCCGAGACGACGGCGCTCGCGATGTGGTTGGACCACGAAACTGGAAGGCAATGCCATAAGAGATTCTGACGAGTGTATCTCGCTGGGTCTCCTCTGGCCCTGTCGTTTCTTGAAACAGTGAGAGAGGGAATATACGTGGCGGCTGTACGGCTGTCCAGGAAAGGATAAAACCATGGCAGCTGAGCATTTAATCTGTTTAACTGTACCTGTCCTCTGAGATGTCTTTAATTTTATTGGGACTCGAAATTCTGCAACGATGTATTTGTAAGGTGTCCATGTTGTCCTGAAGGACCATAAATAATTCCAATACTCTACCTGTTTAAATTAAATTATATTGTTTTTGTTTTTTTTTCTAATCAATTAAATAATAACAACTTTAATATAATGGTTAAAAATATGTTATATATAATATTTACTATCAGTTAGAATTTGATGATATAGATATTATAAATGATAGTAAATCAAAAAAATTTAAAAATAAATATAATAATTAGATAACAAGTTAAAATTCTTAAAACTCAGTCAATTCGACTCAATTTATATACCTTATACTTCTTTTCTCTTTATATTTTATAATTTATAAATTATAGATTTATTTTATTTTATTTAGAGATGTTCCAGCTTCAAAGTTAATGAACTTTCTATTAGATTTCTATAACATAACAAAAAATAAGTTGCCTTTTTACTAAATGAAATAAAAGAATTAACTAGAAATTAATGATAGTACAAGGTATGAAAATCAAACTTGACATTGGAGGTGCCATTTATAATTTATAATGGAGGTTTATCTCTAAAATTAACAATATAATCCCCCCCACACACACATACACATTCAGGTCCAAAAAATAATTAAATGCATTGAATGTATATTATCCATGTTACTCAGGAATATTTTTTGATTTAATATTTTAGGTTGTTGACAAATTAAAGGGTATTTTGAATTAAAAATAAGTTTCATAAGGTACTTAGAATTTTTTTAAGGTATTTTTGATATCAATAACTAAAATGTTGTCCCGTGCTATGTTGTGGACATATCATTTTTTTTCTAACATAAAAAAATATTTAAATAATGGTTAGTATTTTTAAGGAAATAAGAAAAATACAAAACATGACTCATTGACTTGATTGGATCTAGTAAGTATAGTTAATTCAATAATATGATAAAAAATAGGCAATGAAAATGAGTGGCTAATATTATAAAAATAATTTACTATAAAAAATGAGTGGCTAATATTATATTCGGAAGGAGAAAAAAAAAGTTCATTGGAAACTCGTATTCACTTTGCCATGGACGCCTCTTCATAACTAGGAAAAGCTCACCGAAATGTTTTAAAGCCATATCAAAAGGCTACATAGTGAAATCGAAAGAGACTCTGCTAGAGTAATGACTCATAAAATAAACCAAACAAAATATCATGAAATGAAATTCAAGTTTATATTTAATCAATTAATTTAATTTAATTCAAAAACATGTTTTTTTTAAAAAAACTAAATTTAACAAAGAATAATAAATAAAAAGACATGAGATAACCCACATTATTTTCAAAATTAGTGGAAAATCGTATAGAAAGAAAGAAAGAAAATATAATGGAGCTTAATCTCCAATTAAATAAATGATAAAGGATAAAAAAAAATATTCATAAAAAAGAAGAAGAAGAAAAACAGGTGATTCACCTACACTTGGGTTAATCTCTCAAACTTGTAACTCATAAAATCATATACTTGAGCTTAATCAATAAACTTAATTCACAACTAATTTAATATTGAAAGATAAAATCAGAAAAAAAAATCAATTTAAATTTTTTTATCAAAGTAAAAAAATAGCAATAAAAAAATCATAATCAAGTTTTATAAGGTGAAAAAAAAAACTAAATGAAAATAAAATCGTACAAAAATTCAATTTAAAAAATTATCTCAAATTAAAAAATAACAATAACAAGAATGAAGAAAAAATTTAACAGATGAAAAAATCGAAGGAGGATGGGATTGCAAAAAAAAATTTAATTTTATGAATTATTTTAAATAAAACAAATAGTAATAAAAAAATAATGATCAAATATAAAAGAAAAATAAATTAAATTTGTTTGAGAATTTAGAGAGTCAAATGTGAAAATCAAAAAGAAAAAAAGGTTATGGTCGACATCCAATCAGAGGTCAGCAAGCTAAATACACCATCTTAGGATGGAGGGTTCATCAAAACGATTCCAACGATATCAAGGGAGGCCATCTTTGGCCTTTAGAACATGTTGGATGTGTAACCAAAACACAATAAACATTGCTGACATATGCAATACATGTGTCATTTAGTTTTTATTTTTAAATAATATCTATATTTATAAAAAATTTAAATTTCTCCGCAATCAATTTAATTATAACTAAAAAAATTAGGATGAAAATACCAAAAAAAACCCTTAGCTGCCAATTAAAAAATATTGTTTTGAAAGGTAATTTAGTTATTTTATTATTTTTTAAAAAGTAAAAAATTTAAAAATCCCCCTAAAACTAGTTAAATAAATTTTATTTTTTAAAATAATTTAATTACTTCATCATATTTTAAAAATATATAAAAAAAATGAGTTCTCCCCCATTGAACTAATAATAACCGATTGATGTTGAAAGAAGATCCTATTACTTCAAATAGTCAATTCATCGATCTTTTAGTAAGAATAAAATAGTCATTATATTGGTTTTCCTTCCCATATCTTTCGTTAATATTTATCGGGGGAGTGTCCATAGAGTATAACAAGACTACTCTGTGTATTGTAATTCTTAAATCAGTGGACAAATAAGTGTTCATGTCGAAAGTATCTGTCGAATTTCTGTCCTTCCATCACAAGGTGTTTTGGGATCCTTGGCACACACCAAGTTATGGAAGCATGATCTTCAGTCTTTTATGGTTCTAACAGGAAAGACCAGATCATGTAATGCTAATTACACAGCAACTTAAACAGCCTAGGAGACACCTCTTCACATTCCCCAACTACTTGGGGGAACTAAACTCGGTCTTTGGCAGATGTAACAAATAAGTGTCTTCGATTCTCATAACGAATTATGAGATCGAGGAAGATGTACCACCTTTGTTGAGGGTTTTGAAGCCTTTACATTACAAAATGCACCTCTAAATGGTCGTCGTCATCCCTGTCAACTGTTATCCTTCTTGTTAGTGATTTGATAAATTTATGAATGCTCGAGCATTCATAAACCTTGTTTATAGAAGCCAAGTCAGATGCATGAAGTACTGCAAATTGCAGATGACGCCACAACCCAAGAACACGTATCGTTTTCCTAAGCTAGCAAATACAAATGCAATGGAG